TTCAAGTTATTCACTTTACGAGTTTCCAGGATCTGAGGTTTTCCATAAACTTGCGGAAATGGGTAACATAACGAAATATCGATTGTTACACGTGACTTTGAATAGAATGAAATTTATGAAGCTTCAGACGAGTTAAACTTTTTGGTGCTTTGGTACTTTTCGGTCTGCCAACGATAGAAAAACAACCCGTTCTTTATGATCGCTTTGTTTCATAAATTATTTAGTTTATATGGTTGCTGACAGCATTACGTTTTTAATACTGATATTTCCTCAAAAGGAAATGAAAGAAAAATTTACAGTGTGCCATATTTTTACTAGAAAACCTTTTTACAAAGTTATGCTTGTTTGATATCAACTGTCGAGGGAGAACTGAAACGACAGCACTCTAAAATATAATCATTGGTGAAATGGCTTTTAATGTGTATTTTAAACTGGTTTGATTTGAGAAAGTGTAATTATTAAGTAGTGGTACAGAAGAAGATAAACAAATGTAAAGAAAGGCGGATAAGTGCGAGAGAGTTGTGCAAATAACAGTCAATTTTTTTATTTTGTGTATTTTTATCGCACTCAATTTTGGGCTCCACCACTGATCTCATTTACAAGCTATTTATGGTTGAGATCATTGCTGAAATAAACACCTTCAAAAAGAAGAAAAATCAATAGTCGCAACAGTGCCAAGAACAACAATAAGAGAACAAAACCCTCTTATTTCACTTTGTATTAACGTCTACGTTTTGGTTTCATAACCGTAGAAAACTCATGTCTTCTAGATAATTGGTTAAGTAAACAATTGAACAAAGATAAACAAACTGTTTTGCATGCACTAGTAATGATATGAACTTCAACCTTACACTCAGTGGAATGATGGACAAAAAAGGTCAAAATTATCGTGTGTTTCCAATTGTAGGCTCCCGACGCGCAGTTACCAGGTAAATACAGAAGGACGATTATCGTTCGAACAATTCCGCTGAAATGTGATACCACGGATAAACGCTTGAGGCAACATCCCAATATTGTACATCTTTACACAAAAGGTGATTGTCCAACAACAAATCACAAACGTTCTTTCACAAATAACCGGAATCCTAGAATTGCGTGGATACGATCAAGGTGAGTTTCCAAAGAAACGAATGTTGGAAAATCTTCAGATTTTTTGCTAAGTAAGAAAACAACATTTCAGTTTATACATTGTGTTCAAACCATATATTGTATAGGAAGCCGGTCTGCGGTTGATCAATCTGCTTTGCATTATAATGCGATGAGAGGAGTCTTTTAGGTGAGGTTTCAATTTATTGTAGAGTAATAGAATTATTATTACTTTAAACAGCTACGGGGCATCGGTAAAGTCATCTTATGCATACAATTGAGTGAATGCGAATAAACATGTTTCCAGTTTAACGGAATGATTGATCTGTAGATCAATAAGTGACCTAATTTACAAGGGAAATTGAAAGTAAGTAAAAAATACATATTATTGCTGAAAACAACTCCCCGTATCACGTGAAAATGTACCTCAATATTGATATTTCAAGTACATAAATAATGACTAAGTTAGATACTGCTTTATTTGAATGCAGTCAATGCCAACTGCTCACTAAAGTTGATTATAGATAATGAATATAGATAATGAAAAGCTTTTAACATAGATGCCTAATCGTCTCGTCTTAACTGGTATGAAAAATTACTTGTGCGTTGGATAATGTCAGAAATGAAATTCACTTTGTAAACATACGATAAGATGCAGTTGCCCTGAAAATACTCGTGTAGTTGGGTGTTGAAATGCCACTTGATTTTCGATATTTATATTCCAGCATATACCACAAGAAACGTAGTTTCGTATTTTTTGAGTTAGGCAACTGGGTGTTGAGTTTGATTAAGATAAGTGTATGTACACAAGGCAAAGTAAGAGACCATGCGAAGTATTCCCTCAAATATGCTCTACTACCACAATTTCTTTGTGAAGTTTTTCAGTGTATGGTGGTTGTTATCCACAGAGAGCACTTTGTTAGTCAACCTACAAGGCAGTTCTAGTTAGGTGAAGTGCTACCACTACAGTATGCGTACCGTATACCAAAACACCACAAATAATCAAAAAGATTACAGTCCTGCAATACATTAGTTGTATTTAAATTTAAGGGATGGCAAGTTCGTGTTCTAAATGATTTTAAATTTGTTTGTGTTCACAATTTTAGCGTGATTTCTATCGTTTTGTTGTCGTAAATCTTAAGGTATTACGTGCTATCTGAAGCATTTTTAATTTCAAGGATGGTGAAGTCAGTTAGTTTATCAGAAGTTGGTGAAGACATCTGCCAGACCTGACATGGTTTGACATTTTCATAAGTTCCCTTAAGAAACAATTTGGACCACATTCTTTCGGTATACAATTTTGACAAAACTGTCTCTATCGCTAACCTTTATCAATTATGCTTTATTTAAGATGGCACGGACGATCGTTCTTTCGGTTAAAATGAGAATTTGCTTTATTGTACTTTTGAGATTTCTTTGTTTTTAATAGCCTACTCTTGGATATTTATAACAGCCTGAGAAGTAATTATTTTACTCATGGTTTTCTTTTGAAGGCCGTTTAATGCCTCATATTTTCATTGCCACTGATGCAACGGTTTTCCTCAGTTTGTTAACAAAAAAATATTTTAATCTATGCAACCCTTGTCTCTTTTGACAAAAGGAATGACGACAATGGAATTAGGAATGTCAGATCAGTAGTTCAAGTTTATCAGAATTTGACGAAAACCTTGGAAATTAATCGCTCACAAGATCTGGTACCTACTTATCGTCTGCCAACGATTCATACTGTGCCAGCGAGAGCTGTTCTTATTGGACCTTCCAACCTCATCCCAGAACAAGATCCTGGTCGTGTCTACAGTGAACTGACATTCTGGTCATACAAGTTTCACGTACTTCAGGCTGGTTGTGGTGTAATTCAAACACTTTCGGCTCATGGGATAGAGAATACCGGACGGTGGACGACAGTGGAGCAGTTTACAGGAGACCAGGTATTACGGAGACAAGTGCGATATCTGAGTACTCTCATGCAGCCGGACGACGAAACAGCACCGTTTGAAGATGTGATTCACCTAACTTGTTTGAGCACATCGGATGCAAATGGCACGAGAGTGCGTCTGATGCTACCAGTGGCTTTTACTCGAATTCAACTAAAGCTGTTCATGCCAAAGCCATTCACGCTAAGCTTGATACCTATGAATTCGCCAACTGGATCTGAATCAGGCAATTCTATAAGTAGAACGCGTTCGATAAATCTTGAACACCTGCAGGTCAGTGTGGAGCCAAAAGAGCGCGGTCAGTCAGTGTATTTCACCATTTTGTCGGCCCCAAAGCATGGTCATTTATTTTTGAATGAACAGCTTCTTAATCACAACCGATCCGTCACCAAAAAGTCAATCAGCACGTCTGTCATGACCTCAAAAATGTATTTGGGGGTCAACTCACAGTTTACACAACAGCATATACAGGAAAATCGTTTGTTTTACACATTTCGACGTGTCTTGGATGACGGAACAAAGGTTCGTGCTAAAGATACAGTAATGGATGGATTTGATTTTCGAGTTCATGTGCCAGGTGCACAACTGAAGGCAGTGTATCACTTCCAAATCGCGATTCGAAATTCCCCAGACATAACCCATCCACACATTCGAATTCACGAAACCGTCGAGATTGTTCAGGAAACAGCAAGAGTATTGGAAGGAGGTACAATAGCATTTCGGCCGGATATATTTTATGCAAAACAGTCAGAATGCACACCTCCAAATTTGGGTATGTATTTTCAACTTTTGAACTTGCCGGACAACGGTATATTACAGTTGCGGGACGAAAAGAACTCATCGCAGACATTTCCGATGAAACGGTTTACCTTTTATTCAACGGATGTCATAGATAAGAGACTTATGGTTTATCAACACGATGGAAGTGAAACACCTAATGATGTCTTTCAGTATCAGTTTGTTTGTCAAATGAAAGTATCAATGTCCACTGTGCAACAGAGTCATTCAGTGGGAGAACCGATGGTCGGAACATTTCGGCTGGATATTGTCTCCGTTAACGATAATCCGCCGGTTTTGAACACACAACCACTCTCTGTGTCATTCAACCAAACCACTCCAATTTCAGCTAGATGGATCACAATATTGGATCAAGATACTCTTGGACGAGGACCACAAAATGATCCCAAAACATTTCCACTTACCTGGACCATTATTCCCGAGTTTCAGCGAAAGGATTGTGCACCATATCCACTACTTGGTCAGTTTCAAAATCCCATTACAAATCGCAGAGTTGACTCATTCTCAATGGATGACGTCATTCGGGGAAATTTGAGTTTTTTACACATGGGTCTACCAAAGGGGAAAATTAAATTGCATGTGACTGACGGAAAGTTTCACTCCAGTTCGGAGGTGTTCATCAATGCGTCTAAAGTAGTGTTTATGGTTGTAGCCCCCATCAACCCAATTGTGGAGGACTCGGAAATTGGAGCTCCGTTGTTTTTCGAGGTACGTTACTATTATATTCAAGAATATAATGAATTTCTATTGGAATGAATCTTTTCATTATTGTTTTCATGAATTTCATAATGGAAAAGAAAAGAGAAAAAAAGATAATGGGACGAAAATTGCAAATAATTGATCTCTGTTTCCGTATTACGATATCATTCGTTTCGTTTATGCTTATCCTCTTGCGGGACAAACAAGCCCATGCAATACATTTTACCCATGTGTTAACCGAAAGCTATGCTTTTTAGTATTGTTTGTCTCGAAGCTTGATTTCAAAATTGAATAGTTGAACAGCATTGGAAAAATGAGATTCAAAATATCCCGTTCATACGGCCTACAGTCAATATACGGAGACAATCTATTTCTCACTATTGGCATCGGTTCGTTCAGCAAAGATCAAATAAAGATAATAAATTGTTTTTGATATCAAATATCAGACATTTACATGTTTGCCTCAGCAATTTGGTAAAGCACCTTTCCTACTATCATAACCAAACAAGCTAATGTAAGTTTCACCTTTTTTGTGAACGCCTGAGTAAAATACTAAATTGTATCATTACAAACGATTAATTTGCAGATTTAGTGAGTCTCGAATTGAGGCAAAATATGATAATCTGGAGTCAAATGAATATATGTGCTAAAGATAAATCCATCCGCGCATTCACAATTTTTCATGATGTTTGCCAATGCTGTCACTTAATAATGTTTAAATTACTTAAAGTAGCAAAACGATGAGTTTCTTAAAGCATTTTCCGTCTAAGAATGCAGAATATTTATTGTGCTTTTAATTCCGTAACAGAACTGCACTCGGTTTTATGAATGATCGTCCCATAGCAATATTTCAAGATTCTAAGAAGTAGTATAAATCAAATGCATGTAGAAAGCAGTATTGTTTGGCTCATATCGAAGTCCTTCAGAAGTTATATTAGTACACATTATCTAATGCTATTTGTCGTCGTTATCGTCTTTTTCTGTGCTCCGATTGATTGATTTAAAAAAAGCCGCTCATCTCATATTCTTTCTGTTTTACGTTCGCGGTTTCTCATCCTCTTTCTTGTATTCTACCTATTTATAAGGTAAACTGTTTATATTTATTTCTGAGTTCAATGGACAAGCTTATCAGGTTGACTAAATTACGCAATCCAAGTTAGACAGTTTCAAAAATGTGAACTGTGACTTGAGTCATCTAAATTTGATAATAAATGAATATATCGTTTATGCTGTAATGTGTAGAATGGTCTGAAAAAAATTAAAGATATATCTATGTTCGACACTTTAAATAAATATGCTAAAGAGGCGCCCTTGGATTCAAAATTAATCGGAAGGGCATTTTAATGCTTTACTTTTTTGATAAGATATCTGTATTTTTTAATTATGCAACAGGTCCTGACGAACGCGGAATTGGACCCGGGAAAAATATTCATTACACTGTCTCAAAGTCCGTGCTTTGGAGTTTTGCAAAAGCTTTATCCATCTGAATCGGTGGCAGAATTAACGTATGAAGACTTGTTGAAATATCGGATTTACTATCGGTCATTGAAGGATGCCACATCTGGGCTTTATAGTTCAGATACACAGTGTAATCAAACAAGCCATGTGGATTCAGTGAACCAAAAACGTATTGGAAACGAAGGACTGGATTTAGTTGTGTTTGATGTGTACGCTTCGTACGCCGGCTACAGTTGGCACGAATCTGTTCTGATAGAATTCCAAGTAAAACAAAAAAGGAGAAAATTGGAAAGAATAACGACAATGGATCTTTCAGAAATAAAGCGACTGTCGATCCTAGAGGAGTATTTGTACCTCGAAGATGATCATGTTGTACCACTTGTTTCTAGTTGCAAATTGAATGAAAGTTGCAGCTCAACAACGTTAAACATTTTGTACAGATTACAACAGGTAAGTATATAAATAAAATAAATTTCGATACTCTCGTTGTTATCTCACCACAATAGCGATTTCCCTCTCTGGGTACATTAACTTAGCGTGATACACTAGTGACACAAGTCAGTTATAAGGCTTTTGTTAAGCTAAAGGCTCACCTTATTATGTGGTGAGATACAAACAAGCTCCAGAGAAGTTGAAGAAAAACGAGTTATTAAAAGTTGTCTGTTAACATATAGAGTAAATAGCGACCAACTGCTGGTTATAACACAATAAGAGGTTCTGAGTAATTTGAGATAATCAATGATGGAATGACCGATCCACTGAGAAAACAATGCATTTAATGGTCAAAATATATGAAACAAAAGGGTAAAAAGCAGTGCAAAGCATTTTCAAACCCGCTGGTCAACACAAACTGTACGTACCAGACAGTTATATAAGGAGTGAAATCAGCGAGTTTGCAGATAAAACAAATATTTAATAATCAGTTAACCAACCACCAGTTATACGAAAGAAGAGCAGTAGACTAAGAAACTGAATCAAACACTGATTAACCATGAAAAACAGACAGACCTGTAATGACACACGGATGTTCATTCGAAGTTGCACATAAGTTGGTCACATTGATCAATCTCAAAAAAGTAGCCGTCATGGAAACTAATGAATGTAAGCAGATCACGCAAAAACAGTTTTTGTCAACTGCTATTTGAACATTGACGATTTGTACGCGAAAACCAAGACTAACTTTTGCTCAGTACCAGATTGACATTCATCATTGCAGAGCAAGGAAAGTAGTATATTCGTGGTGATCAAGTCGTTCAAGGATAGAAAATCCAATTGCCAGCAGATAGATGGCACGGTTAATTTTAACTATCTAAATCAAATCAGAGGGACAATCGATATAATAAATGCTTTTCAGAACAATGTAAGACGTAATCTTGTAAAGAAAGCAATTAGACCATCGAATGAGAGCGGCGAGATTAGGTGATACAGCAATTAATTCAGTAACAATAAACACTAAGCAATTAGAAAAGTGTGCTAATTAAAGCCGCTTCAATGGAAAGTCGTAATAGAATCCATTACAATCCCTGATTCATAATTCATCGTAAACTGTTAAGCTTGTGCCTGAATTTTAATTCAATAAAGATTACCAAAATTATTTTAACTCATAAGATTTAATCACATTTTTATACTTTACATTTTTTTATAGCCACCCGTTCACGGAAAGCTGAAGTTGAGAACCCCATGTTTCAAGGTTAAACCGATCAATACGTTTACTTTGCCTGATATTCTTGCAAATCGTGTATTGTACGAATTAAACAGACTGGTGGAATTCTCCGACAGATCACGAGACTTTGTGGACTGTTTCCTGTTTAATGTAACCTATCCAACGAGTATCTGGTGGAGAAAAATTGAGTCAAAGGGCGAAGCCACACGAATGAGAGTATGTGTGGGTCAGAAACGAGGAGAACTAAAATTCCAGGTAACTAAGGTGCATTTTTCTACTCCCCAATGATCCATTTTGAAAGCATTTCGTGCATAAAGCTGAACAGGTTTTAAATCAAAATTCCTACGCTTATATCTGTTACATGAAGCCCGATCTACAAACTTCATTATACGAAGTAAATCACTCACCATGAAATCACTTCTTTCAAACATAGCTCAGTTAGAGAATGGTCAACATAAAAAAAGACAACTGCATGATTGTCGGATTGAAGAAAAAAAGTTTAAAGAAAATCTCATGTTTAGGATGGAAGAAATGAAATTCATAATGGTTTTGTTTTTAGGATATTCCTAGCTGATTACTCAATATTGCAACAGTGGAAATCTACGGAATGTTTATAGCTAACTGATAAGTTTAGAAGCGAAATACACGTGTTTACAATCTGCTCTATGCAATGCTTTAAAAAATTACCTTGGACCAAAGGCATTTAATTTCGGCTTAACTTATGTAGAAGATATTGTATTACATTATATACAGGATATACATATGTTGCAATTGTGAAGCATTTAGTAGCCTCGATGGAGTTCGAACCCACAAACTGACACCACTTGCGCTTTTGTACAGCGCATGACCTACCAGCCACCAGGATACACAGATAGAACTGATATTTTCCCGTTCAAATTACCCATCCAACTCAAAGATGCATACAGCACAAATCAGGCAGCACGTAAACTGCCTGCCACGAAAAGATTTTCTCAGAATTATCCGGAGTCCACCGAAGGAAATAAGGTAAGGTTAATATTATTAAATTGTTGGATTAGGCGTGGGTTCGAATATCACAGAGACTACTGAACTTTTCATAATTTCAAAATAAAACTTCCATCTACCAATGAATAATTTGAACAAACAGATATTATTTATTATATTATATTATTACTAGTAGTTCTTAAAGCAGGTAATGTCTACCAGTACTATTTCTTTTATTACTGATAATTGGCGGTTCAGACAGGAAAGATAAATACAAGCGTTCCAAAAGTTAACGAAAAATGATGCTGAAGAACTACCGAACACAAGAAATTGGTATTCAATCAAAATACTGAAAAGTGTGGCATTGGATTACTATTTGCTATATCTTATATAAAAATAAGCCAAAGAAACTGGGTGGAATCAGGGAGCTGTTGGTATTTCGTGATTTATTCAGAATCTGGTTTCCTTTGTGACACTCGATTGGAAAAATTCCAATGAGTACCACATTTAGCGACCAGCAGAACAAATCCAGCTTGAGTGAATCGTTGAATCAAGTAAAGCGTTTTACTTTAACGGTCTTGAATTAAATTTTTCTTTACTTCTGTCTATTTTTATGCACTTTTATTTACCATGATAATTTTAGCTAGATTAGGCACACTGCCATTAGAGCTCCTTCATAATTCCGATCCAGTTTATGCTAACTTCACCGCGCACATTTCTGATCAGTCACGCATCATCGAAGAACCTAGGTGTCTTCGTATTAAAGCATCATCGACCTTGTGCTCTTTTTCATTGTGCTCTCTGGTGATGATATGTATTTAGGAAACGAATTAGAGAGGTTTTACCTTGAGTTGTTTAAAAGGTTATCTCAGGTATTTTTATTTGTGGTAAACAGTTAGTTCATCTTTGGTTATTTGTTGTTTCTTTTAAGTTTTGAAGCCATTTTCTTTTACTGAAGGTAAAATTGGAGTAC